TGTCCCAATGGCGCTTAAATAGAACAGCGAGATCCAAGTTTAAAGAGTGTGGCGCATATAAGCCTTCATCTTAAAGGCTCAGTGTAACCATTGTTTCGGCAGGGGAAACGGGGGTTTCGGCTCTTGCGTCCGAGCCTGGAGGGGGGGCGGGGGCGGGAGGGACGCCTCTCAACAAGTTCGGATTTATGAGGCTTGTTAAACACGCGTTGCCGTATTACTTATCACTCTCCCCACTTCGAGGAGGCTGGGAAACAATCCTCTATTTCCTTCAGCCCCTTCACACACGTCGGCGTGTGTCCAACAATTACCAGTGGCCGGGAGATCCATCTCCGTGCTGTCATTCCCACTTTCCCCCCACCCTTACCCCGCCCGCCCCCCCCTTTTTTTAAGCCTCGGAGCGGGGTGTCTTTCAACCCGAACGAACCCGTTTCTATGAAAATTCCGGAACTTTAGCTGCAGCGCAGAAACTTTCAGAGTGTTGGGTGCGGGAGAACTTTGCACCAAACAAACTTAAAAGCTGCAGCCCGCTTGCGAGGGGCCCTGGGTGTCGCAGGCTACTTCAGCTGACTGCAGTTCAGCAGTTCGGCTGTTCAAATCCCACCAGGCTCAAGGTTGACTCAGCCTTCCATCCTTCCGAGGTGGGTNAAAGGTCCCCGCGTTCTTGCACGGGAGTAAAGATGGAAGCCCGCCAGTTTTGGAGAGGGGATTTTTTTTGTTGCTTTCTGAAATTTCCAAAAGAAAAAAAGCAGGCGCGGGGGGAGCGCACCGTTTTCTTCGTTTTCAGAAATTGCCGCCTAGCGGTGCACAATTTGTTGCCTTTTGTACGACCGTGGCGCGGCCTTGGCGTCGCTTCTCTGCTCTCCGGTTTCCATCCGCTGCCTCCTTCTAGGTCTCGGGCCCTAAAGCCAGGCCGCGGAGCTCCTGTCCCCCCCACCCCGGGTGGAGTGGAAGGCGCCTTTGTACCTCCTGGGCAAGGTAGCAGAGACCGCAGGGGCTCCGCCCGTCCTCCTGGACAGCTCGTCACGGGATGCCTCATTCCCGCCAACCAGCATCAAGAGAAGCGAGACCACCCCGTTTCCAAACCGGGGAAGAGACGGTGCGCCGTCTGAATGTTTGACAACAAGTAATTCTCGATGAATCCGATCCAGGGGGGGGGGGGGGGTTCGTTCCGTGTGGGTTTCCAAGCTCTGCGGAAGGTAGACGGCGCACCACACAAGTAGGCTCAGTAGTCTCCAAGGAAGCTTCCTTCATGGGACACCAGAAGTCAGATTACTTCTCCGTGGCCTTCTGGGCTAAAGATGAGTTTTCCAGCGTGGCTGTATAACCTATACAAGTTTTACAAACACGAAGTAACAGCCTTTACAATACCGGCTAAAGCAAAGCCTTCCATCGGGTTTACTTCTTTGCAACTAGTAGACAATTCCTGAAAGTCACTTAGATCGCTTTTAGGCCCACCAACTACAAGAAGGCAGGAAACAGACATATGTGAATGTTGACTATGATCCTGCTTCTTTGGATTAATTCATATTTCAGGTGCTCATTTTTCTCTCTCTTCTCTTTCTACTTCAGAGACAAATTATTTTTTCCCTACTTGAATTAGAACTTGACCTCAAGTCTTCCCCATATCTTGATATTTTTTTTAAAAAAAAATTGAAATTATC